CTTCTATGGTTTTCCTCCCCACTGACTGGCAGGTAGGACAGGAGACACTGCCCTTATCCATGATTTCTAAGTACCATTGCTCCTCCAAACTGCCTACAAAAGAAAGAAAGGTACACTTCATAATCTGCAATACACAGGTAATTGCAGAAACAAAAAACACAATTCCACATCTTATGAGAAGTATCATAAAAATGGTTTTCCTTCCTGACAGATAATAATAAAGAGACAGTGATGCATTTCTGAAAGCCTTTATTTCCCCATGATAAAAAACATCTGAGAATGACCCCAAAGCAAATTTCTTAAAGAACTGGACATTTTTCATAGTGGGATACAATGATGGGATAATGAGATATGTAACAACCAGGTTGTGTCTGACACTATTCAAAACGTTTTTATCTCATTTAATTTCACAACAATCCTGACAGCCTTTATTACCCTTAATTATAGACAGGGAAAAGGAGACTTGGTGGTGCAGCAGTTAAGTGCTTGGTTGCTAACAGAAAGGTTGTCAGGTTCAATCCCACATCAGCTCCTCATGGAAAGATGTGGCAGTCTGCATCTATAAAGATGACAGTTTTGGAAACCCTATGGGGCATTTCTATACTCTGTCCTATAGGGTTGCTATGATTCAGAATTGACTAAACAGCATACAACATAGACAGGAAAACTGAGGCCCGAGGAAGCAAAATAAATTGAGTAAGATCAAAAAGTTAATGAAGAACCAAAAATTAAACAAGGGTTCTCCTGACACACAAATTCATGCCCTTAGATATGTTTCAGTATATCATTCATTCTGAGACAATAACAATAATGAAATCAAAGGGAGAGAATTAGATCCAACAAAGCTTCCATCAGAAAGCATACCTGCTGCATAAGCTGGTGGCTCCTTCCGAATACGACGAGTCTGGGGCTTGGGGGTAGGCTGAATTTTAGGCCGTTGTTTTCTCCCTGATGCAAAACAGAAACTTGAAGCCAAACAGATAGCTTCTGCTAATAATTCCTAAGTGCCAAAATCGCCTCCCTCTCCTTCTCAACACCCAATGCCCTGTTCCCTGAACTAACCGACTCCCTCAAGTTATAAGAGTGAAAGTTATGAAGGCCATCCACTCTCCCCAGCAAACTAAAAAAGCTCAAAAGTCCTTCAAGGACCAAAACTTAAGGTTTCTGGCTCTTTAACAAAGAACAAAGCCAGTTACCCAAGGGGGAAAAAAAAGAAATAGCGAAGTTACTCCTTACCATAAAGCTTATGCTTCTTCTGAGGAAATTCTCGATAGTCTTCATCTTCTTCCTGCCTTGGTTTCCTTTTTCCTTTGGCTGTTACTCCACCTGACCCTAAATCCCATACAAAAAAAACAATACAGCAAAACTTTAGTATGATTTGCAAATGAACATCTGGGTCTGCATTCAAAACACCATTCAAAACACCATCAAAGGAAAACAGAGGCCTTAGAGAATGTTTCTGACAAAACCTTCAGGCAGTATGCATTTATAAGTCTTGATTTGAGGTCAACACTGAAGCAAAGAATCAAAATTGTTCAAGGTACAGGGCTAACATTACCAAGGATTCTTGAGACTATGACAAAGAATTATACTAAGAATACAGTCTCTAAACCCTTTACAGAGGAACTATAAGATTGGGAAAGAAGCTCAATTCATATGAAGAGAAACAGCCAGACACTAAATAAGATCAGAATTTCACTCTTCTAAGATAAAGGGTCCTGGTGTGGTACTGTGGGTTAATGTGCCAGAATGCAAAGGTCGGTGGTTCAAGCTCACCAGCCTCTACTCAGAAACCCTGTACAGGGTCGCTATGGGTCGGAACCAACTCAATGGCACTTAACAACAAAAACAAGATAAAGGGACAGAAGTCCTGGTATGGTACAAAGCCAGTGGTTCAAATCTACCAGTCACTCCTTGAAAACCCTAAACAGGGTTGCTATGAGTCAGAAGGAGTGCTGGTGTGACACTGTGAGCTAAAGCGCTGAACTGAAAAGTCGGTTTGAACCACAAGGTTGGTGTTCAAGCTCACCAGTCACTCTTTGCAAACTCTATACAGAGTCACTATGGGTTGAAACTGACTCAACAGCACTTAACAACAATAAATTAGTCAGAACCAACTCAATGGCATTTAACTGCAAAAAAGGATAAAGGAGCAGTTTATGAAGTTAACAGTCTGTAATGGCCTAACAATACCTTAAAAAATTTTCAATCATTAATGAGCAATACATATGATATTTAATACTTTAAGAACCTTCTACAATCACCCCCTTAACCAAAATAAATAAATAAACAAAACCCCACTGACATCAAGTCAATTTTGATTCATAGCAACTCTAGAGCGTAGCTGCTTCAGAGGGTTTCTGAAACTGTAAATTTTTACAGGCGCAGACAGCCTCATCGTTCTCCCAGGGCAGCTGGTGGATTTGAACTGCTATACTTGTGACTAGCAGCCCAACACTTAACCCATTAGGCCACCAGGGCACCTTAGAACAGCTACCTCAGATTGTTACTTTAGAGTGCTCTGTCTTTGGAATAAGACACTGATACTAATACCTTCAACATGGGAAGTAGCAGCTGGCTTGATCCGTCTCTTTTTTATGTAAGTAGATTTTCTTCGAAACGATGTTGGAAAATCACTCACTGGTTCACATGAAGAGGCAGATGAACCACTGAAGGAATCATCGTGAGGGATAGTGTACTGGAAACTATTATCCTTTATGGAGCACTGGTTCCTGTTACCAATATGATACAAACAGATATACCACAAAGAAGAGTTTGGAGTAAAGTTTCTCATCTCAGTTTTACCATAAGAAAACCAAGTTAGTTACCTGTGCAAAAAACTAAGAAGTCTGGTAAAAACAGAACCTAGGTTGTAACTGCTAAACTTGTAAACAATAACTGTAATTATTTATCTAACACAATACATATAATTATTATTATTATACTTCATTATAATCATAAGAAAATAATTAGTATATATAAATGATCACTTCACAGCCCAAAGGGGCTTTCCTTGATTAAGCTACTAAAAGAAACTAGACAAAGTAACAGGGATATTCTGTGTTCTTCAGAAGACCCCTGATCGGTAACCAGTTATGATGACCTGTGGGTAAAAGAAGGGACAACAGGTTGTTGCAACAGTATGAATATGAAAGAATGAAGTTAGAAACAAGGTTTTATAGTAGAGACAATGGGAAGTTGGCAGATTCAAAATAGCGTTTTAGAGATAGAGCTGGTAACAATCACAGAAAAACATTTGTGAAAGCATAGAGCTGAAGTAACACAGATGGTCATCCTTAGAAAAATATCTATGTAAAATGTGGTACATGCTTACATGGATATCATATTGTTAGGGTAAATCAATTTACACAGAGACATGAACATAACTGAAAAGCACAATGCTAAATGAGAAAAACAATGTCATTCCAATATATTAAAAACAAATATACAAGCAAAACAGCACTAACCGTTTCTATAAAGGCTAATATATTTAAAGGAGCTCTGGTAGCGTCGTGGCTACAAATTGGGCTGCGAACTGTAAGGTCAGCAGTTCGAATCTACCAGCTGTTCCGCGGGAGAAAGATGGGGCTTTCTGCTCCTATAAAGATTTACAGCCTCCAAAACCCTGTACAGGGTCGCTATGAGTTGGAACTGACTCCGCGGCATATAACAACAACAATATATTCAAGCTCACCAGTCACTCCTTGGAAACCCTATACAGGGTTGCTATGGGTTGGAATCGACTCGACGGCACCTAACAACAACAATATAGCCTTAAAAAATGCCTCAGTAGTATAGCTGCATGCTCAGCTACTTGCTGAAAGATTGGCAGTTCAATTCTATGCAGAGGTGTCTTGTAAGACAAGTCTGCACTCTTTCTGTAAAGACTACAGCCAAGAAAACCCTATGGGGCAGTTCTACTCTGTAACACATGGCATCACCATGCATCAAATCTATTAGATGTTCGTTTGTTTAGGCATTTATCTAGAGAAACAAAAACATTTGGCCACACAAAGACTTGTACATGAATGTTCATAGCAGCTTTATCTGTAATAGCCACAAACTGAAAATAATCCAAGTATCCATCAACAGGTAAATGACTAAACAAACTTTACAAATTATGGTACATACCCAAGTAGGGAATTTTTTTCAGTAACAAAAAGAACATACTGTTGATAAATACAACCTCAGAAAGAAATGAATAATAAAAAAAAGAGAACATACTATATTATTTCATTTATATAAAATCCTAGAACATGCGAACTACTATTCAGTGATAGAAAACATGTCAGTGGTACCTGGGGACAGGAATGGAGAGCAGAATGGATAGTAAAAGGACACAAAAGAACTTTTGGATGAGATGAAAATGTTACCTTGATTGTCTCACAAGTACATACATCAAAGCTGATCATATGGTATACTTTTGAATAAATGCAGTTTATTGTAATTCAATCATCTACATAAAGATATAAAGGGTATCAGCGCTCCTTTAGTGACAAAACCCACCATTCCAAACAATGGAAACAATTTCAACCAGAAAGATTTGATAGTACCAAGTTGCACATGACAGTTTTAGGAAATTGTCATGAAAGGGGTTGCTTCACTATAAATATAAATGTAAGATTCATATATCCCCAGATCTCGTCTCCTAACAGGCAAACCCAAAACCATTGCTGTGGAGTAGATTCCAACTCACAGTAACCACGCACGTAATAGCATTTCCAAGGCTGTAAATCTTACAGGAGGCAGAAAGTCTCATCTTTTTCCTATAAAGCAGCTGGGGGTTTGAATGGTCAACCTTGCAATTTGCAGTCTAGTGCTTATCCTATATGCCACCAGGGCTCCCTCCTTATGAATAGGCATAATCATAGGTAAAAATCAACAGTTCATATGATCAGTATGATTAACATCTTGGGGATCAAGTCAATATCATCTCCTGTGATTAGGAAATCCCTTCCTCAATGTCTCTTTTGGAGTCCTGGAGTGGCGCTGTAGGATAACCACTAGATCACCAGGTCTGTCTAAACCACAAAATTGGTGATTCAAATTCACCAGCTGCTCCTTGGAAACCCTATATAATATCGCTATGAGTCTGAACTGACTTGACAGCACGTAACATGTTTCCTATATTAAAAACAACTTTTTTCCCCCCCTAACCAATTCTGGCACCAACAACCCTCCCATGGCACTCTCAACTTTTCTGCTGTGTTCAGTAATTTGTTGCAATGGCCATCCACATCTCATGTAACACTCGCAATTATGAGGTTTATTAGGAAAATTGTTATTAATTGCTGTCAAGTCGATTACAACTCATAGCAACATTGTATAGAGTTTTGAGGAGCCGCTTGTGAGCTTGAACTGCCAACCTTGCAGTTCAAACCAAACTTGCTGACTAGCCCAATAACCTGCAGCACCACACCAGGACTCCTAAGAAAGTGGTGGTGGTTATGTACCGTGGAGTCGGTTCCGACTCATAGCGACCCTGTAGAGGGTTTCCAAGGCTGTAAATCTTTACAAGAGCAGAAAGCCTCATCTTTCTCCCACGGAACAGCTGGTAGTTTTGAACTGCTGACTTTGTGGTTCGCAGCCCAATTTGTAACCACTACGCTACTAGAGCAAGTAACAGGTTACAATTCAGGATCAGGAACATTCACAGTACAGTTCTTTAATCAAGCATATGCTCCACGGCTACTTAGCTTCTGTCCTGCTTGGGCAAGTGTCCAAAGTTCTTTTAGCTCTGTCAATTAAGTGCCTAGAGACACACCACTCCACCAGGAAGGTTGAGCTCAAAGGAGGCTTAAGTGTTTCTACTCAGTGAGTCAGGACGCCCAATGCTTTGTCTTGTGCAGGTTTCTTCGTTCTGGTGCCTGTTGCCATTGTTTCTCTGCCGCTGTTTTTCATCATCTGTCACCATCTCTGGAGTCAGCCCTCTGTCTCCTGATCAAGGGTCCAACACAAGGATCACAGATCCAAAGGACACACTCCAATTCATATATCTTCTTTTTTTGATGGCTGAGATTCTCCTCTCCTACCTTTGGAATGGTTCACTTTAGCCTAGTGGGATGGCAAAACTAACCAATTTCCAAGTTAGGCTCCATATATCTTATCTGCACGATCCCATTCAAACTAGGGTGCCACGCACCTTATTTCCATTATTAACAAGCACCTCACATTTGCATAGTCCTATACAATAACTTACACAATATGCAGATGACACAACTTTGCTTTTTGGAAATAAAGAGAACTTAAAATATTTACTGAGGAAGATGAAACATTATAAATATGGATTGTACCTCAATGTAAAGAAAACAAAAATACAACTGAACCAATAATAGTATCATGTTAACTGGAGAAAAGATTGAAGTTGTCAAAGACTTCATATTACTTGGATCCACGATCAACACTCATAGAAGCAGCAGTCAAGAAATCAAAAGATGTATTGCATTAGGCAAATCTGCTGTGTAAGATCTATTTAAAGTGTTAAAGAGTTTGAGGACTGACCCAAGTCATATATGCAAGTGAAGACTGGACAACGAATAAGGAAGATCTTAGTAGATGCATTTGCATTATGGTTTTGGAGAATATTAAAAAGTACTATGGACTGCCAGAAGAACAAACAAATCCGTGCTGGAAAAAGTACAACTGGAATGTTACTTAGATGGCAAAACTTTACATCTCGTACTTCAGACACGGTATGAGGAGTGACCAGTCCCTAGAGAAGGACATCATGCTTGGTAAACTGAAGGGTCAGTGCAAGAGGGAGACCACCAAGAAGATGGACTGGCACCAACAATGGGTTCAAACATAGCAGTTGTGAGGACCAGGCAGTGTTTCGTTCTGTTCTCCACAGGATCTCTGAGTCTGAAGTAGACGACACTTAACAACACAACAACCCCGTTGTTTGGTGGTAGTTATAAAGACTATAGCTATAATGGCCATAAGCACCATATCTTCCTTTCCATAAATATCACATGTTATAATTGTCTTAACTTTATAATACATGGCCACAATTAAGACACACTAACTTTCAGTCTCAGCTTCTGATCACAAAGACTGAAAGATTAGCTTGTTTCAACTCCATTCTGATCTACCAAGAATTTTTAGAAGCTCCTAGCTCATTCTCTAGGTGCAAATATTTGGATTTCATCAGAAAATCTATCCTTTACAGACTCCTTATATTTTACCCAGTCCTTAAATGTTAGTGATCTTTATCTCCACAGTTTCATCCTCTACCCTCTTTTCCAGTCTAACTTTTCACTACTGGTTCTCAAACTTCATAATCTCATAGGAAGCTAATTAAAAATAAGGTTTCCCAGTAGTATCAAATGTGGGTGTAAGGAGCACAGTTTGACCAAAGTAAGTACCACTAAGAAGCATACAAAGGGAAAGGATGCTTGTGCTATAAAGTATGACATACACAATTTGGCAACTACATTAACAATAACCAAAAAATAAGTGTATGGGTCACATATGTATGTATACAAGGGGTTTTCAAAACATTGGGGGAAAATGGAAAAGATAATGGAATTTTCCACAAATTTTATGAAGCTCCTTTGTATAATTATGTATGTACATATATGGAGTCCTGGTGTGACATTGGGGGTTAATGTGCTGGATTGCAGAGCAAGATAGGTGGTTTAAGCTCACCAGCCGCTCTTTAGAAATCCTATTCAGGGTCGCTAAGGGTCGGAACCAACTCCATGGCACATAATAACATGTATGTATGTATATA